TATATATCCTGCTAATGAACTTTTAATGAACTTTAGTTCACCATTAAATCTCTGATGAACCAGATTCTACAATTATTCTATATTCTATTCTATATTTAAAATTTTATAGGTTTTCTTCATCATTTGATGTATTTGCACTCATTGTGTCTACCTTTATTGTTCAATTTAGATATGTGGTTTTGTTTCTTGTATACAGATTGTTTTTTTTGTTGCTTTGCTTTAAAGTTTAATGCTTGTTTTGTGATTTGTACATCTGTGGGTTAGAATAAAGTTTAACTAAAGGCTGTATCTCTTCTTTAAATATATTTGAGGGAAATATTCCTGAGAGATCCAATAATTTTGTCTTTTAATGATTTTTCAGCTGAGTTAACTTGAACAGATTATTTAATAGTCATTAAAGTGAAAACAGGATTTCACGATAAAGCCGGCACCATTTATTTATTTATTTTTTATCTTCACTGATTAAAAAAAATACATTTTTTTATACTTTTTTTTTTTTTTATCGTTTCCACCCTGCGCCCCAGACCTGTCCTGATCCACCTGTCTGCCAGGATTGGGGTTCAGCCTTCATGAGCATGCAAGGCTGGGGTCCAGGCAACGGCCTTCTGCGAGTCAGCAGCTCGTATGATCCTCTGTGGTGACCAGCGGAGCTCGGAGCCTGCAAAGCACGTAAGGCCGGGGCCCAGAGCCCGAGCCCTGAGTCTGCAGCATGGAGGATCTTCCGTGGTGATTGGCGGAGCTTGGAGCAGGGGAGATGATGCCCTGCACGGCCTGAGTGGGCTTCGAGGCTCCAGTGGAGAGGACTGGAGAGAGTCGGGGATTGGCGGAGCTCCATCTGTCTCGCTCTGAATTTTTTCGTCAGCCACCAAGTACAAAAAAAAATGCTAGCACTTCAGAATTAGACCACAATGTTGTCATTATTGTTTTTAAAATCTTAAAAATAGGTCCAATTGTTCCTCGAGTTTGAACACCATTCGTTGCAAATGGAGGATCTAATGTTTTGAAAAATTCTCAAACCCCTCTAGTGACTCCGCCCCCGACCAATGAGTGACTGACAGTGTTCTGACATCACGTTTTGATGCCGGCTTGGCTTGCTTGGTACCCTTGAGAAGAAGGGACCAAAAAAGGTGCCGGTTCCATGAAAAAGTGATCATGGGAAAGGGCTCAGAAGTGTATCGAAATGAGTTGAGTCGTACTGAAGAGGAGCTGTGGAAAAGGGGCTTTAGAGTCAAGGGATGGGAAACAATACAGTAAGGCAAAACGATAAAATACAGAAGTCAGTTTTTATTATTGCCGTTCGCACCACATGTGATACATGTGGTGGAACAAAATTATTTACACAGGGTCCCAGTTATAACCATCCATCCATCCATTTTCTTTACCCGCTTATTCCATTTTGGGTCACGGGGGTCGCTGGTGCCCATGTCCAGCAATCACTGTGCGAGGGGCAGGGTACACCCTGGACGGGTCGCAAGTCCATCACAGGGCCACATAGAGACAAACGAGACAAACAACCATTCACTCTCTCACTCACACCTAGGGACAATTTGGAGTTACCAATCAGCCGAACATGCATGTTTTTTGGTATGTGGGAGGAAACCGGAGTACCCGGAGAAAACCCACACATGCACGGAGAGAGCATGCAAACTCCACCCATTGGTTTGACCAATGATCAGAATCGCTTCTCCAGTATCCCTGAATAAACCTTACCAGAGAGGCTAAGGAGAGTGATGCCCCTGTAATTGGAGCACACCTTCTAGTCCCCCTTTTTGAAGAGGGGAACCACCACCCTAGTCTGCCAATCCAGTGGCACTGCCCCAGATTTCCACGCAATGTTGCAAAGGTGTGTCAACTAAGACATCCCCACAACATCCAGAGCCTTAAGGAAATCAGGGCCAATCTCATCCACCCCCAGAGCCCTCCCGCCATGGAACTTTTTAACTACCTCAGCGACCTCAGCCACGGTTAGACCAAACCCAAAGTCCCCGACTTCGCTTCCTCCATGGAAGACGTGCCAGTGGGATTGAGAAGGTCTGAGAAGTATTAATGGAGGAGG